CACTTATATAAGTGTGTTCTTACAAATCTATAAAAATATAATGAATTATAATATCACTTTATATTTTAATTTGAAATTATGTAAAGAACTAAAGAAAATTATGCGCAGAAGGCTCATACATTTTCAAACAGTAATATCCTGTATTTTATCCTGGAAGAAATTTCATGTCATGCAGTTTTCGATTATTGCGCAGTTATATGCCTTTTTCTGGTAACTTAAACTGTTTAAAAAGCCAAAGTCAAGATGCTTTTCGCGCAGTTATCGCACAGAAAAGATTTGCGAAATCTGAACTCGGTTATTTAGCAATAGAAAACTCATCTGAATCAAAGCTATTTTTATATGCATATTTTTTTCGTCGTATCTATTCAACAACATCGAGGTGTAATTAAAATGACGTATTAAAATATCACAAAACTGAAACTGTGATAACTGTGAAACTGTTATACTAATGACAATAACGCAAATGATCAATTAAATTGTCATCACCACTAAATAAATTGTTTCAATATCGCACGAAAAGTTCGTAGTCGTAAAGTTAGTCGGTGCCGCTGTAATAATTACAAAGCGCGAAAGTGGCGATGTGGGCCTTTTACGTGAGCACGTTAGTAATTAAAATATGTTCCGCTTCGAAATAGAGACAATAAATAATTATAAATTTTCATAATGGTGCTAAATTTTCATTATACAACGTAACTAATTGCGAAACACAAGCGACACTTTCTCCATATATATATAACAACGAGTTCTAAATTAATGTGTCAGTTGCTATTCAACTACATTTATAATTGTTTTTTACCGCTGATCGAAATAAATAGTAACTTTTTTTAGTGAAGAATTCCAAAAAATTAAATTATAATTAATGTTCTCAAATTTCAAGACGCGATAAATAATCCTGTTAGAAATTTGTGCAGTTTAACTGAATACTCGACTAATTATTATCTAGTATTCTGATTTTTATTAATTAAAATATATACTAATTTTATTGCTTAATAATTCAAATTATAATATAAAAAAAAAATTGTAATATGAAAAAAGATTATAAAGAAGGTAAAAGATGAAAGATCGTAAAGGAAGACATGAAAATAGCTTTGATTCAAATGAACTTTTACTGCTAAGTAACTGAGTTCAGATTTTATAAATTTTTTCTAACCGCAGTAACTGCACGAAAAACGTTACATCTTGATTAGATTTCCAAACAGTTTTGCTGTCAAATTACCAGAAGAAGTTACTATAACTACTGATAACGAATCGAAAACAGTATGAAATTTTTATCACAGTAAAATACTTTATTACTAATCTATTTAAAAATATATGAGCCTACTATAGATGATTTTCTTTAGTTAAAATATAAAAATTTACATTAAAATATAAAATTTATATTAAAATATATCATAATTTATTATTTTTTAGATTTGTT